GGGAGGGTTGCAATGGTTGGGTTGGTTTACATTAGTTTGAGTTGGGAGGGTTGGGTTGGATGGGTTGGGTTGAGATGGGTTGGATTGGGAGGGTTGGGTTGAGATGGGTTGGGATGGATTGGATTGGGTGGAGTTGGATTGGAAGGGTTGGGTTGGGTTGGATTTGGTTGGAAGGGTTGGATTTGGTTGGAAGGGTTGGGTTAGGAGGGTTGGGTTGGATTGGGTTGGGAGAGTTGGATTAGATTGGATCTAAATTAGATCATTAAATTCCCGGTGCTCCGGCATCCGCCCACTTCCAGCCCATCCAGCCATGCAACTCATTGGAAGACACCCAGGAAAAGGTGCCGGCAGCTCATCAGCTCTTCCCTGGCCTCATTCCCCTCCCAAATCCTGTTCCTGGGCTCCTGGAGGTGGGAATGGTGGTGGAGATGTTGGGAAGCCATGGCAGTGCTTCCCTCTCCCGACCTTCCCTAAGCAGGCTCTGCTCCCGGATGGACACGATCCAGGAATTCCCAATGAATTCCACACTCCTACTCCACCACTCAGTGCTCTCCTGGGTCCTCCAGCTGGGCATGAGCCCAAAAAATCAGTGAGTCATGGGATGGAGGAGGTGGGAAGGGATGGTGGAGGTGGGAAAGGAGGGTGGAGGTCGGAAGGAATTGTGGAGTGGGAAGGGATGGTGGAGGTGGGAAAGGACGGTGGAATTGGGAAGGGATGATGGAGGTGGGAAGGGATGATGAAGGTGGGAAGGGATGGTGGAATTGGGAAGGGATGATGGAGGTGGGAAGGAATGTGGAGGTTGGAATGGATGATGGAGGTGGGAAGGGATGGTGGAGGTGGGAAGGGATGGCGGAGGTGGGAAAGGAAGGGATGGAGGAGGTGGGAAGGGGTGGTGGAGGTGGGAAGAGATGGTGGAAGTGGGAAGGGATGGCGGAGGTGGGAAAGGCTGGTGGAATTGGGAAGGGATGGTGGAATTGGGAAGGATGATGGAGATGGAAAGGGATGGCGGGGTGGGAAGGGATGGTGGAAGTGGGAATGGATGATGGAGGTGGGAAGGGATGGTGGAGGTGGGAAGGGATGGCGGAGGTGGGAAAGGCTGGTGGAATTGGGAAGGGATGATGGAGCTGGGAAGGGACTGTGGAAGTGGGAAGGGATGGTGGAATTGGGAAGGGATGGCAGGGGTGGGAAAGGACGGTTGAGGTGGGAAGGGACCTCTGGCATGTTCCCATGGCACATCCTGGTGCCGGGGGTTGTTCCTCCCCAAGGGCAGGACTTTCCTCCTTGTCGATCCTTCCGAGGTTCCTGGCAGCCCGTTTCTCCAGGCCGGGAAGGTTCCTCTGGATGGCAGCAGCACCCGGAGCTCTCCCAGCCGGCTCTGCGTCCCCGGCCGATCACCGAGGGTGCATCCATTTGGATGGATGCACCAAGGGTGATTTCTTGTCCTTCACCCCCTCGGAGCTGCTCTGCAGGGTGATGTGCTCCAAGGATTGAGGGGAACCCCACCAGAGTTTCCCAGATCCTCCTTTGTGCCTTCTGGGTGTGAATTCTGCCAGGAACCGGCCACTCTCACCATGTCCCTTCAAAAGAGGCGTCATCAGCCTTCCTTGGCACCCCCGCCCACGTCCCACCACGTCCGTGCCTTATCCCTTTCCGAGAGGCCTCATCCATCAAATCCAGACACTGGCCTGGCACCGGGACCACTGAAACCAGCACTCGGGAAAACCATCCAGGAGGAAAAACACGGAAGATCCAAACTAAGCGAAGGCCCGAAGGCCGGAAGGCCCGGGAGGGACGGGTTGTCCTCCCTCGCGTGGAATTGTCTCCATCCCACTTTTATTTTCCTGTTAAAGTGTTGGACACCAAGCAGGGTTGGAGCACGTTGGTGGGTCTCGTGGCTCCAGGCCAAAACCTCTGGAAAGACTCTCTCTGCCTTGGGATCATCGGCTTTGCCGAGTGGGAGGCGCCGCGGGTCCCGGCGCGGGACTCTGCGGGAATTGGCAGATTTCGACGCCGGGAGCGGTTGAGCTCGTCGGCCAAACATCCAAGAGGAAATCAGTCGTCCTGGAGGGAGGTGGTGATGAGGGTCTGGTAGGGCTGGAACACCTCCCATGGAGGCACCGGGGGCATCCCGCCCCCAGCCAAGCTCCTTTCCGGGGATCTCCAAGGCTCTGGATGATGGGAGGGGGCGGATCACCAGAGAGCCCCCAGAGGAAAGGATCCGAGAGGAGGTTTTTCCAGAGGTGAGGCCGGAGACCTCACCGGAGACTGGCACTCACAGTGCAGCACCGCCGACATCCCGAGGCCCTCGGACATCCCAGAGCCCTCAGATATCCATCTGTGGTTTCCATTCCCATGGAATTGTCTTCTCTCTCCGGGTAGTGGTTTGGGAATCCTAAGCAAACATCGACCGGTGCTTCTCCGTATCCCGCCTTCCGTCGGCATCAACGGTGCCTCCGTGGCTTTGTGCCGTCCCCGCGTGACTTTGGGCACCGGGACGCCGGTGATTCATCCGTACCTTGATCCACCGGCTCATCCCTATCCTTCCCTGGCATCCGCCGTGCCCGTGACTTCCGGGGGATCTCCCGCTCCCACCTCTGGAGGGCGGATCGGTGGAATTCCTTGGCCGTCGCTTCGGAAATGCGGCGGAGGGTCGTCCGGAATTCCCACCGCGGCGCTTCTTCCGGCCGAAAGCGGGGCCTGGAAAGACCCCGAGTTCTTCTGCTCCTGGTTCACGACTTCTCATGGGATCCACCAGCCACCAACATTCCCATTCCCTCCCCAACTTCCTGGCTGGGGGAGACGGAGAAAAATTCCGCGCGCCTCCAGGAGGAAGAGGGAGATCCCGCAGAGCCGCCGGTGCCTTCGCGCACCAACCAACGTTTTGGGGCCAAACCAGGGGATCCCACCCTGAAATTCGGAGGCAAGGGGTGGCACCGGGGTGGCTCCAGCATCTCCGTGGGGCCTGGAAGTCTCGGATTTTGTGGGAAGAGGGGATATTTCCCAGCCCAGGGGGGTGCTCCGCGAGCTGCCGGCTCCTTTTGGGGGGACGTCCCATCCCACCGGGATTTATCATCGCTGATAAAGAGGGAAGCGGGAGGGGGGGAGATGATGGATAATCCCTCAGGGTGGAGAGGGAATGGGAGGGAAAGGAACACAGTGGAGGGGAAAAGGAGGGATCAGGGGCTGGGAAAAAACCCCAAAATGTTGTTTAAGGGATTTTTCCATCCAGTGTAGGTGGCGAATCCAGAGGGAGGGGGGCTGTGGGTCCCACCCTAAAGGGGCTCAGAGGGGGATTTTGGGAGCTCCTTGGAGGTTGGGGTGGGGGTCTGTAGTTGGGATTGGTGGGATAGTGATGCCACAAGCTGTGGGGGTGGAAAACTGGGAATGTTCAAAGGTTTGGGGATGCAGGAAGGTTGGGGTTGTTAAGGGTTTGGGATGCAGAAAACTGGGAATACTCAGAGTTTGGGATGCAGGAAACTGGGAATACTCAGAGTTTGGGATGCAGGAAACTGGGGATGCTCAGGGTTTGGGATGCAGGAAAGATGGGGATGCTCAGGGATTTGGGATGCAGGAAACTGGGAATACTCAGGGTTTGGGATGCAGGAAAGATGGGAATGCTCAGGGTTTGGGATGCAGGAAAACTGGGAATGCTCTGGGTTTGGGATGCAGGAAACTGGGAATGCTCAGGGTTTGGGATGCAGGAAAGCTGGGGATGCTCAGGGTTTGGGATGCAGGAAACTGGGAATGCTCAGGGTTTGGGATGCAGGAAAGCCAGGCATGCTCAGGATGATGCTCAGGGTTTGGGATGCAGGAAAGCTGGGGATGTTCGGGGTTTGGGATGCAGGAAACTGGGAATGCTCAGGGTTTGGGATACAGGAA